TATCTTTTAATGGGAAATGTTCAAACCGAAAGGGACACATGGTCAACTTTAACATAACAAAGTGGTTTTTTTTTACATCAAAATGGACAACTTTCGAGTGTGTGCACTTTCCAGTAAATTTCATATGTCACAATGCTTATGATAATATGTCACAGTAGGAACCGATTGCGTGGGGCAGCTGTTTGGTAACTCCTTCTTAAAAAAACTTAAGATTGGTGTATAAAGATAAAACTTTGACTTCTGGTTGTATAAATAAAATGTTGATAACCATATATAGCAAATGCTTTTCTTTTTCCATATAAAACAATGTTAAGTTTTCAACAGGCAGCTCCCTTGTTATGCTTGTCACTGATAATGTTACACAGCTGAACTGCCCAGTGGGAGATTCAAAAAAAGGGGGGGGGGGTTAAAACCCCCTTTTTGAGACGATCAATGCTTTTGAATTGGGACATAAGGTTGGAACCCCCCTTTATCATGGGTTGGGGATCCGCCACTGCTGTCCGTGTTTATTCTGATGCTAAGGCTAAATTTTATACCATGAATGCTTGAAATTGATCGGCTTCTCGTTTAAGATAATTTTGTTTTAAATGTCGAAGAACAGGAATTTCAATGAACAGTTGTACAACTGTATAACCAAATAAACCCCCTTCTTGTGAAAGTCGTCGGAAACAAACAGTACATATTCATTCAAAGTTCACAAATCAAACAAACACTCTTCTTGTAAAGTAAGTAATGTATATGTTTATCAATCGAAACTGTCAAAATGTTTTCAAAATATATACTTACGTTACTTCAGTCGGACACAGCAAGTACCTGTCAAAAGACAAATGGCGCGAAATCATAGCGTGGATATTTTCGAAAGCTATCGGGAGTTTTCATTATTCCAATCTTTACGGCTGAACTCTCAGTTAACAGTCATCAATATCTTATAATTGCGTACCCATTAAAGAATAATTATCAGAATTTCATATGGTTCCATACAAATATTTTAACAGTTATTATTCATGTTATTTTTACCAATTTATGAAAATGAAACGCATGTTAACAAAAACGTGTATCTACAGTCCCGTTTTCGATTATGTCTCCTTATATTTATTTGTTTATTATTGTTTGTTTTTTTTTCGCTTTTTTTATTACGATTCCTCTGCTAATCAAAGGGAAGCTATCCTCATATTATTTTGATACACTGAAAAGTACTGTACAATGATTCTATCAATGAACTGACGTGTACTAAAATGTACTTAACAGTACTAGATTTAACGCTACGCGTTTTTTCTAAATTACCTGAATCAGTACTGACTGGTACTTAATCGATCGCGATAGTTAGTGTACTGAACATGTACTGAACAACTGAAAAATATCTTGACATTTTTCCTTGCGGTAAATGCAGGCATTTTAGAGTTGTTTAGTTTAAAATGACCGTTTCAGTAGTAAAACACGTTACTAGTGGCTCCATCCAAGTCACAATGTATAAAATGTAAACAATTATAGGTCAAAATACGGCCTTCAGCACGGAGCCTTGGCTCACAACGAACAGCAAGCTATAAAGGGCCCCAACAAAGGGCCCAACATGACTAGTGTAAAACAATTCGAACAGGAAAACTAACGGTCTAATCTATATAAAAAGGAGAAACGAGATAGTTTCTGCTGTGATCTAAAATATGCACAATTGAAGTGTATGACCAGAACTAAATATATCGCAGAACACAATTAAACAATGGCCTATAAAATGAAAATGTGGATAGATACGTATGTAGATGCTTGCTGGTGGTCGTATATGCGATTTTTGCACATATTATAACTTCGTAGATATAGCACCCATAATGAAGTTTTGCACCCGCTGTTATCAAATTATTTGAGGAGTCTTTTTATTTTTCTACAAAATTTACAGAAATCGGGAAAAATGTTTATGTTATTGACCCCACATGCAGTTTTTAATCCACAGCTTTGAATTTAACCAAATGTGTGCTTTTGTGATGAAAAAAAAGTTATGGAATCAACACTTATCAATCGATAAGAGACCAACAAAAACATGACAAAAGAACAAGTTAAAGGCAAACATCGGTGTATAAAACACTACATACAACACTTAATACTAAACGCGACGAACCAATCAGAAGCCTAGGTTCTTCGGGAGAATAGGCATATCCTGCTCCTCATTTGGCAACCACCTTGTTGCTCATGAATAAGTAAAAGTTCGGTGATAAGTCTCAATCGATGAAAAGAGGCCCGTATCATGGATCTGACAATTTGAATATCCGTGGTCATCAGTGACACATATGTTTTCCAGTATGGCCAATCAACGCATGATGGCGCCGTTAAAAGTTTCAAATGGATGTCTTTAACTACACCAGTAAGAATCTTTAGTTCACTAGATCCATTATAAGCAGCAACCCTCTGTCAGGGAAAAGCAAGGTCTCTGGAATATCATATCACCTTGAAGCAACATACTCTATATGCAGCTAACAGTGCTGCATAGAAACGGACGACAGTTCAAAATAACAAAACTAAAATCCTCTGCTTGGTCGTGAGGTTTTGGTTTAGAATGACTCTCTTTGTCAATTTTCTAGATGAAAGTTTTTTTTTTTGATATTTTCAATCATTTTTCCTCTTTATGTTTCCTTTTTATTTAGGTATGCATTAGACACCATTCTCTGGGTGTGTGTGTTTGTTTTTTTTTTTTTTTAAGCATTCACATTAATATCATCAATATAGCTTGTTTATTCAAAATTAATGCATAAGTGCCAAAGATAGCTCATAATTGGCACTGACACACATTGTGTATCACTTTTAGTAGAGCAGATACATTAAAATGGCGGAAAAGTCAACTATATCTTGAAAAAAAAAGATACAATATATATATATTTTGCATACACAAGTAAAAAAATTGCGGTTTTTATCCAATGCAATCATAGGTTTGAAAGTTGTTTAGATATTTGGTGATGGATAAGTATAATGCATGCACATGTTGATTCTAGATGTTACTTAAATTTTGCGGATACTAGTACTAGATACTAGTAATATTATAGAGGGTAACGGGCAAAATACGTAAATTGTGATTCTTGATATCAGCTTTTCCCTTGTCTACTATATGTTTTGAATATGAAAAAAGGTGCCCAGTTTTAACTTCATCGGTGTAAGGTATAATCAGCGAAATATCGTTATGTATACTTTTAAAAATCAAATATCCATCATGTTGTCGCACATACATCGGCAAACGAGTGTTAAAATATTTTATGGTAAATGTGTTGATTTTTTAATCTATCTTTGAGGTAAATAATACTGGAATCATACAATACTTTTTTTTATAAATAGTATCTATTATTTGAGCCAAATATGTCAAGCCCTTTTCCCCTGGTTTTTATATTTTCTTCTGACTTGTTTTTTAAAAGAGGGGCGAATGATACTATCGAGACATTCCAAATCGCAAGTCGAAAATAAATTGACAACTCCATGGCTAAAAAAGAAAAAAAAAAAAAAACAAACAGACAAACCACAGTAGAAAATCAAAGACTGAACAACACGAACCCCACCAAAAACACTGGGGGTGATCTCAGGTGGTTTGGAAGGGTAAGCAGATCCTGCTTCACATGTGGCACTCGTCGTGTTGATCATGTTAGTACAAACTCGGTGATAAGTGTAATTCGATTGGTCACATTCGGGAAGAAAGGGGACTGGATTGTAGTTACGACAATAGGAACATATCCGTTGTAATATGTGAAACGGATATTTAATAACGGTCAACCAACTCGTAAAAGCGTCCGTAAAATGTACGGAAAGACGATTTCAACTTCACCACTTGTTTGAATTGTTTTTCATTTAGCCTAGTCTGTTCATGTCATAGCCAGGAGGTATTGGCTTTGTTTTATTGTTGAAGGCGGTACAGTGACCTATATCGGCTAAAATCTACGTCATTTTGGTGTATGTTGGATAGTTGTGTCATTACCAATCTTCCCATAACTTCGTATCCTCATATTGCAGTCTTTGTCATTTTGGCATTAACACGTACGTAATATTGGTACAACATGTTTGTGTAGTTCCTATGACATTATTCTTGTTCAAGTATTTGTACATCCCTTGCGTCTACATTTCTCACTTTGAGCGTTCCTCATGCAGGTTCATCTAGAGAAGCGGTATGGATATACCAAACTTCTAAAGTGTAACTTATATTGTCTTGTTTTGGGTTGATATCGAAGCTGTTGGACTATAATTACTGAGGGTATAATCGGATAAATGGCTGGGGTTACGGAATAAATATGATTTATAACAAATCTTTCTTCAATTCTGCATTGTTGAATTAAGATTTTATAAAGAAAATACAATTCAAATTTCACCATGATATGATTACCTTACAGAGCTATAGCTATTCTTTTAGGTCCATTATAGAAATGGTGCTCATGGTGTATTTTAATATTATATACCCATAGCTTTTTGAGTTTTTGGTTTAAGCGTGTTTTTTATGATGAATAATCCAGAAAAGGACTTTGGACGCACCAAACACAATTCAATACTTTTCTACTTCTTACATAAATTGGTCTTCAAACATTTTGTACAAAGTAATACATGTAATAAGCCTAGCATTTTGTATCAGTTTCTACAACCACTGAACTGATTTAACTTCTGGCGGACGCTTCGTCCCAAATGGTATCATCAGCCTTGTGGTCATTACCCCTCTGAAGACATGGATGTGTGTGGTAATTATACTGTTCATACACAATTTAAAACATGCAAAACACCTTGATGTCCCTTCTCCTAAAATTGTATGACTTTAGGCAGATTTGGGACAACTCATCGTAGATTCATGGTATTTTTGCTCTTCAACTTTAATTATGCCTTCCAATTGTTTTGATTAGAATGTAGACAAAAACTTGTCTTCCGTTCTCAATTCAAAGCATAATAGCATTAATGAGGTGGTTTTTTTTTTCTAGCTTACTCCCTATCATATTTACCATGTAAAATAAAACGGCTGCCTGAATGTTAATAGTTATGTTTCTTTTTAGGGTGATTCACCTTTACATCAAGCATCGAGCCAAGGAGAACAGAACGCGGTGAAAACCTTGATTAGTCTAGGTGCCGATTTGTCAGATCGAAATAACGAGGTTAACCTTTTTTAATTTTTTTGTCTTTTAATTGCAAATGCAATTGTCAAGTGAAATATGAAACACTATTAATGGGTTCTTCTAATGCATCTCTGACATCTGTCATACCACGGGAAATGCAAAGCTGATACTCTTCAATGAACTAAAATAGACATATCCTTAAGGTAAAGATAAAACAGAATCGACTGCCGAACTTCAATACTGTTGAGGGTATTCAATTAGAAACAAATACTAATATTGTAGGTAGTCTCATTTGAAGGTTATTCTACTCACTGTATAAAAAAAGTTATATTCATTGTTCATGTAATTAAATTTGCTTCAATTGTTTAATTAGAAAAAATTCATCAACAATATTCAAACAGGAATAATTACATTACATGTATGTTTCACAAGAATTCGTTAGTTTGATTGGCTAACAGCAATCGTGCGACAATAAAAAATTAACCTTCATATCAAAATGAAATGTTACATTCGTAATGACACGTGCTTCCACAAAAAAGTGAACATGAAAATATAATAAAAACTTGATAACACTTTTTTTTCATAGTCTTAGCATAAAATGTAATTATAAGAAATGAATGCTTCTTTTAGTAATTTGACATTTTTTACCTATTATGTCTGTTTGTTCTGTTCGTACATTGTTGTTAATATAATGGAATGTTATGCGACTGTCATACAAGTGAGAGGATTAGCTAGCTATAAAACCAGGTTTAGTCCACCATTTTTTACATAAGAAAATGCCTGTACCAAGTCAGGAATATGACTGTTGCTTTCCCTTCGTTTGATGTGTTTGAGCTTTTTATTTTGCCATTTGATGGGGGACTTTCCGTTTTCAATTTTCCTTAGAGTTCGGTATTTTTGTTATTTTACTTTTTGATAGGGTCGTAAAAGGGTTGATCGTGCACACTTTTTTAGAATGAAGCGCTTCTGCGCTTCATGCAAAATGTGCTTCAGTCAATAATTTCGTAATTTAACTACCATTGTTGTCAAATTTTCCTCTGGTTAGAAACTCTGACTAAACCAAATTTATCAAACATTTTCTGCTGTGTCTATTAATGTTGGATCTTCCTCAAACCTTTACTGTGTCTTACTCCCTTTCAACCATTTTCTGTAATGTATTCAACAATTAGAAAAGTCTACCTGTTTTATCATTACCTTATAAACAGTTACTCTAGGAAAAGCTATACAACTTGTTATTTGTTTAAGTACGTGACCTATCTAACATACGTATACAACCTTAGAAATGTTACATACAATTGACGTATTTTGTTAAAAGAAAATGATAAACCAATGTAAACAATATGTTATATGACATAATGCATTATAAGTTCTGTAAGAATCAGTTTTATCGGCAATTTGTACATTTTTCTTTTGATCTTTCTGATCCTAATATTTTTCTATGTCATAGATAGGACCTGATACTCAGGAATATTATTCAATGATGTCACGTAACAGTGTAGCATCGTCACATGTGTATGTCCAACCTCAACTTCATTCATACAACTTACTAACTATCACAATGTTTTGTACGCGTAGAATTCATGTTATTTCATATGTTTCACAACCAAACATCTATTGTTAAGACAAAGTTACCGATAAAAAAAATAATGGCATTTTATGGTTTGATACTTACTTCATTAGCTTGGATATCAGCTGGCTCGTCCGGGCTCGTTTGATTTTCTTGCAGATAAAGTAAGAGCCAAAAACAATTATCATCAGTATTATTTTTCTTTAGGGTGATACTCCTCTACATCAGGCAGTCGGAAATGGTGAATTGGCCACAATAAAAGATTTGATTTGCCTAGGTGCAGATATTACAGCTAGAAATAAAGAGGTTAGATTTTCAAAATTAATGCAAATAATTGAGTTAATTTGCATCTTTTGTTTTCAATAACTTTAATAGTGCATTGAATGTAACATTTGAAGAAGTACCCACAATTATAACGTTTACATCTTTAAAAAAAAAGTTGTCTTTTGTCAGTTACACTATTAATTAAACGTGTATTTTATTCGATATTTCCTGTCTATTTTAAGTTAAGTATTCCACCCAATATTCTATTTAATTGATATATAATCGAAATTAAAGATATGCAGTTGTATTAACTCTGTAAATATAAATTGATATCTGTATTTAAAAAATGCAGTCTTCGCCTAATCGCTGTTTTATATTTGTGGTAAAGTCGTGGTAGTTTTTCTTCTTAACTGGTATACAATCGACCGATGAAAGATCTCTTCTAACACATAACATGCATAGTGTATAGAACGTATTGAATCTTTCGGGAGGAAATAACAGGCTAACGGGCATATTTTTTGCAGTTTTTCCTTATTGTTGAAGGTCGTACTATGCCCTTTAGGTACTCAAAGTTGCTTCATTTGGACTTTAGTTGGATAGTTGATTCGTTGCCAATCATTCTTCATTCCCGTTTTTATACCAAATCATCAGTATATTATAGATATGCATGATTCAAAACGGAAGCTCCAGCATACAAGTGATCTTTATAAACACTTTCGACTAGTACTTTGTTTTTCTATATATCAAAGATTATGAAATGTCAAATCATTAAAAACTGGGCATTATAATATCAGGTTTTTTGAACGCGTTCAGTTCACAACCGTGTTAAAAATAGAATATATAGTTGTATGTTATGAATATATTGTATGTTATGAATGTTGTATGTTAGGTGGACAGTATCTCTGCTAGCAATAGCTTCCTGGATGAATCTGTCCTTGCTTTCTTACAGGAGTTCCTACTATTACATTTTCTTTAGAAAGCGAAGCATATCCTGATGATGGATTTTGAACACTTCTTATCACGTTGTGTTTTGAGAAAGGGCTACTAATCTGTAATATTATTATTTTGTACATTCTAACTAATTTGATTCGTTAATCACATTTTATATTGTATTTCCCAAAGTAAATTGAAAACAGCAGATAAAAAAGTAATATTTAAGTAATAAAATATTAAAATTATTGAAATCTAAAAACTATATTCAAGTATAACACAATCATAACAACCAATCTTATAAAGTTGTGCTCTATTTCAGACGTATTGAAAACACGTTTGAAATACGATTAAAATACAGTATTGAATGCATAAGCTTTTAATTCTTCTCAAGGAGAGAACACATCAACTTAAACTCTTTGTTCAAGCATGTTAATATAATGATCTCGATGAATTCAATAACCTTCTTATTCGTCTTCCCATTCTGTTCATTGTTGAATGCCTTACAATGTTCAGTCACTTCTAGTTGTAGATATTTGCATTGACTAGCTAGATTCGTATAAGGGTGTTCCCAACCCTTACCCTAACCCTATACGTGAGATACTGTAAGTGGTTTATTTTACCTGCCTAATAGTTAGTGCGAGCCACTATTACATATGTTTGATAGTTTCTCTAAACTTTATTCACAACGTTAATAGACTTGTCACAATGTAATACGAAATTGAATCTACTACGATTTCGAGACAGACAGAAAGTTGTTTCTATGTTCTATAGGTAGGACTCAAATCTATGGTGGGTTCCAAATGTATGGCAGATTCCTAATCTATGGCAAATATGACGTTACAAATCAAATCTATGGCGGTTTTTTGTTTTCTTCAAATCTATGGCAGATCTTGAAATTGCGTAATGTTCCGGGGAAAAGAGTAACATATAGAGTCACAATTAAATAACGCCATAATTACGTCGTCGTCGCCGGCGCTAACGTTGGCAGAACCGGCATAGATTTGAACACCATTTATAAATTTTTTCTTTTAATTGTATGATGTAAACCAAAAACAAATATTTAACACGGGGTACACAGATTTCAAATTTTTACCAAAAAAAACACAGGGAAACAGGCTCCCTCTAAAACAATTTGCCGATGGTTTAAAGGAAGATGTGCTGTACTGTCCAAACTCCGCGATGAATAAAGGCACGGCTGTTTTTAGTAGTGGATATTTTAGGAAAGGAGTTATAATTGATTTTTATTCCTGAAGTCTGTATTATGGTATGGAATGTTTGTTTCAAAAATGTTTATAAACATGCTTCCGTTTTCATACATTTTCACTTGTTTAAAATTACTAAACTTGCCACAGATTAGGATTGTAACAAATCTGCCATAGATTTGGGATGGCATGACGTCATATTTGCCATAGATTAGGGATCTGCCATAGATCTGGAACCCACCATATATTTGAGTCCTACATATATAAGGGATGCGCTCTGACAACCCACATCTCCTGCAATTCCTAATCAGGCGTAAGGTGCAAGATCTCTCTTGGACTATATTTCTTTATGATGAATTTTGGTTATGCTTGTCGCTGCGGTATTGTCTCACTGCCGTACAACCAACATTTAATGTATTCACGTTCGAATATACAGTGAAGAAATATGTTCCAAATAAACTCTTCACAGATTCCAGGTTTGATATTGTACACGACAGACACATGTTTTGTCTACAAAAGACTCATCAGTGACGCTCGAATAACAAAAGTTAAAAAGGCAAAATAAAGTACGAAGTTAAAGAGCATTGGGGACGCACAATTCCGTAAGGTTGTGCCAAATGCAGCTTAACTTATAATTAACTTATAGTTAATTTATTAATATGACCATGTCAATGATGAATCAGGTCAACACATAAGTGTTGACTATTTGGCTGGTAATACCCTCGGTGTATCTCACACAGTACAGAGGACTACAATTATCATTGTATATGTTGATGTTACAGGGTATGACACCTTTAGACTTGGCTGAAGTTGCATATAAACAGAATAAGGACTATGTTTATGGTAATATATACCAAGAGGCACTTGAATATATAAAGGTATATTTCATAAGTTTAAATTTAAAACAACGTTCAAACCTATGATTGCGTTGGATAAAAACTGCAGTTTTTATGCGTGTGCATGCAAAACAAATGTCTTGGTAGAGGAGTCTAAATACAGCACAAACAACATTTTCCAAAATACCAAAAAAGTGACAAAGCATATTTAAACAAAACGCATTTGACTAACAGGTCGAACAACAGATGTTTTTAAACTCTGCTGACTTCCATTGGCGATTGCCAAATAAACGGATCACAAGATGTAACAAAATGGATCTATATTATTAATTTAATACCAAGGTATATTTCATATATTCTCTAATAATATTCTTTTTGACATATATTCATTCTTGTTTAAAATTTTTGCTTTCACATATCATTTCAATTCTTTTACCGGAACTGACCTGCTGGTTTTAAGGTTTTTTTCCTGACCGACTTTGAAACAATACTCAAATTGTATGTTAAAGACATATGTGAGCTTCTAACTTATCAAGTTTTGAAGCGCAAAATTTGATGTTATCGAACATTCTTTGTTGGAAGTACCTTGTCAGTTGAGGTTTAATCTAGAACTAGCAATCAAACAATATAGCTACTTTGTTTTTTTTTCAAAACCGGTTTTATTAGCGTCGCGAGACAAAGTTTACAATAAATATCTTTATCTGTACGTGATAATGTTCTTCTTTTTATCTCCTGTTTTATATTTCAATGACATTATGGCAATATCTCTGTATCAGTACAAAGAATAACATTTCCAGCATATTAAATAAATAAGAATATATTTAATTGTCCTATTGGAGTTACCTCCCCAACACCTAAAAACACGAAGGATATTCTTAATAGTCAATGCTTTCCTTATACTATCCTCGTAATTACCATATCACCAAACACTCTTCAACACTGGACGTTTCTTGTTGTTTATCAATGTCTTATTGGTATATTTACATATTATATTTTCAGGGACTAAATGATACATCTGAGAGAACAGTGGAACAATCCAAAAACAAAGATGCGGATACAAGTAGTAAATCTGCTGTGTCCAATACAAAACAGCCAAAAGATCAAACGGGTAAGCTTACTTGTAGTGATCTGAGTATGTAATATAATATGGTAGTACATAGCATTGGCTGAGGGACAGAACAAACACGTTGCGGGAGTATAATTAGATGCTTTCAAATACTGAACACTCCAATATAACAAATTTGTTAATGCATTTTCAAGCTCTGCAAATTAAACAGATGTCCTGAAGTTATTGCTTATTAATACCTAAGAAACTACATCGAACAGTTAGTTAAAGTTTGAATGGGAGAAAATGTTATTTTCGTCTAAATCATAAATTTTGATTGGCATTGTTAACTTGGATATTTTCTATGAACTCTTTCGAAGTTATGTTGGATTATTATCTGTGTTCATTAGCTATTAACATATGGTTTGTGTTACTAACACCCTGTTGTATGCTATGAAATGTTTTAACTTACGACTGAATAAACATTTCATCCAATAACGGAGTGTGAATATATATAGTGTTTTAACTCGTAATCGAAAAAAAAAAACAACATCGAATTGTCTATCATGAATAATAGTAGTGTTTAGGGTCACACGTAACATATTTTTTCGATTTTCCAATTCAAATATTATTGATTTTAACAATTTAACTGGGCTGTTAAGAGTTAGAATAAGATAATGAGAGAAAAAAGTAGGAGTATACCCTGACACAGTTCTGAGATAAATTTCAAAAGACGTTAAGCAAAAACAGGTCAAATTCTGACCCTGCTGAAATAGTGTCTGGGTATACAAATAATTGCAACCGATGGTATCATGTTTCAAGTTAATATGTTATGAGAGACTTCTTCATGCGTTTTGTTTCATAATAAAATAAATATTATAAGCATAATCAGTACATGATAATTTATTTATCATAACATAAAACAAATGGGGAAAAAATGATGAAAAACGACACCAAATGGGCTATGATTATAGATTGAACCAAATACACATGGCATTGACGAACGCTTATGACCGATATTTTTATTCATTAAACGTATGGATATATTGGGATGGGTAATAGTTGTTATCGCAAACGTTTCATAAATCTGTAAAAAGTAAAATCACAAAAATACTGAACTTCGAGGAAAATTCAAAAATGAAAGTCCCTAATCAAATTGTAAAATCAAAAGCTCAAACACATCAAACGAATGGATAACAACTGTCATATTCCTGACTTGGTACAGGCATTTTCTTATGTAGAAAATGGTTGATTGAACCTGGTTAAAATACATCCTCCAGATAATTACTTATTTTTCTAAGCTTTTACAATTTTTTGTATTTAGAATAAATTAGTAGGATTATCAACTATTATACTTCACGAAGGAACGACTAAACACTAGAATAGTATTTTCTCCAAGATATGTTGATGCACGTTAAACGTTGTGGTAAGATAATTCAACATACTTAATCTATTCATAGACGTAGATAGCATTTACCAATTTAACTTAGTATTGCCCGTTTCGACATGACTAAACAATCAAGTGACATTGGAAGTGACGTTTTGCTGTGGTTTAATGTTCATAGTGAAACAACCTAGTAGAACAAACAATAAAAAAATTAACTATTTCCACATTTTTTTTAGAATGATGGAACATTTGCCACAATTAAATCTTTTTTCATAGTATATGAATAAACACCTCGTTAACTAATTTTGGTCCAAAACATGTCAGGTTGTTGCCGTTGTTAGATAAACAGGAGAAGAAGGAGAATAATTTGAATAAGGCTCGATAGGATTTTGTTTTAAAGTGACATACATATATATATATATATATATTCCACCACTGCAGCAAGTGTTACGATATTTCTACACTCGAGAGAGTTACATTTTAATATTGAAAGCGCGAGGCTTGCCGACCTTTTTGAATATTTAGAATATAACTATTGAGAGTGGAGAAATATCGTAATACACGAGTTATAGTGGTGGAATCTGTTTCTGTAATGATTTTTATCCTTTCGATTTGAGAGATTTGCACAAAGTTGTGTTCTTTATATGTGACGTCATCAGGCATGGGTGTTTTTTTTTTCATGACGTCACAATAGGAGATTCAGAAGAAACCAAGAAAATTTGACTTCATCAATATATTTCGACCAATCATTTGTCGAGATCAGTTATTTTACTAGTGAGCAGAACATTTTTTCGAAATCGGTTAGGAAATGTGAAAAAAATGAAAAAAATAGAGAAAAGGTCATACATAACCATTTTCCTCTGTTATCATTACAAGCATAATGTTTCCCTTTCGAATAATTCATGTCCTTTGACCTCCATTTGTTTCATTTTAGATGACAAAACTCTAAAATCTGGGTTTTTCTCAATGTAATGTCGTTTTATCTTGGACACCGACATAGTTACACACATAAATTTGCTCTCATATTTTGTATGTAAACATACATTTTACTTTTCAGAATCTGTTGCCGAATTTCCATGGATAGGTAACCCAAGTGAGTTCAAGGTCATATTATCAAAAGGAATGTACGAGTCTTTTGACAACAGAGTATATTTGGCAGGTGCCTGCAACTGTGGAAAAAGCACTTTAGCAAGCGTTCTCATCGGTGATGACATACCCCTAACATGGAAATCTACAGACGGTTTAGTTGTCTATTTTGGCAGAAACGGTATTCATTTAAAGACAGAGGAAATGGTTCCTTTAAAAGATGGTAAACCACATATATATAAATACAATTATGAATAAGTCTAAATTGAAAACAACGTTCAAACCTATGATTGCGTTGGATAAAAACCGCAATTTTTATACGTGTACATGCAAAACAAATTTCTTGTTAGAGGGGTCTATATACAGCACAAACAACATTGTCCAAAAGACCAAAAAAGTTAAAAAGAATATTTTAACAAAACGCATTTGACTAACAGGTCGAACAACAAATGTTCTTAACCCTGCTGACTGCCATTGGCGATTGCCAAATAAACGGATCACCGATGTAATAAATGGATCTTAATTATAAATTTAATACTAAACAGAAAACAATAAACTTGCGGAAAATATGGTATACCGCAAACATGAGGTGCAAAGGTTTTTGTACACCATATCCGGATTTCGACAATTAATGTCTCTTCAGTGATGTTAGGAATCGAAACGGTATTTGGAAAGCCATACAATTTACCTCAATTTAGGATAGACTCTTGAATTTTGAGGAGTCAAAATAGGATGAACGGATCATATAAACCCGAAGGCAAATATAATACAAGCCCAAACGAAAAAATATAAACAAGTCTAAATTGAAAACAACGTTCAAACCTATGATTGCGTTGGATAAAAACCGCAATTTTAATACGTGTGCATGCAAAATACAATTATGTATAGATATATTACTTATATACGAAATTCAGACTTCTTATAGCTAATGTGTATGTTCAAAACATATAATTAAGCGTATCCTTGACCGGTTGTTAAACCGTATAGAACAGCATATGTTATATGGTATTGCTTGTTTCAAAACAAGAGTAAAATGGGTGCTTAAAGGTGACACAGTAAGACAAAACTTAAAACAGAAAATCAAGTATGTCGATAAATCACAAATCAAAACAATCTAAAAATAAATAACCAATCAAGAGCCATTTAAAAATAAACTTTTAGCTGGGAAAATATATACTACAGTGTCTGCTTTTTTATATGCTTGTTTAAAAATATTAATTAATCAAAGACATAAATTGTTCTATTGTGTGTTATGTGTTATTTCTTATTTAATGCGTTATTCACATATTTGCAATATTTACTTGGAACAAGGATTATCAAATGTTTTTATGACCATTAGTTTAAAATAAAGATGCAAACACGTTTTTTTTTTACCAGCAGAAAATTCATAAAATTTACGAAAATATCTTAAATACATGTAAATAATAACTTTTGTAGTTTAACAATAATTTTACCAGTTTTTCGTAAACATATATTAGTTATAGTGGCATAATGGTATACGCCAGAGTTATTCCTGACATGATATGTTCTTAACATAATGTTTTGCAAACAAAGTTGTGATAAGAAACATTGTCTATTGAATGTTGAAAGTATGACAAAAATTGATTATTGTTCTTGTTGCATTTACGAAAACTTCAGGAGTTGAAATTATCTAAACAAGGATATAATAGAAATATAACCTATGTTAGAACAATAATGTTACCAATGTTTGTATTAAATATGTTTTTCGACATTCAATGTCTCTTAAGATTGAGGCAGACAAGGAATTTAGTCGCCTTCGTTAGTATTGTTGTTCAGATGGAAAAGGGTTCAAAGATGTCTTATTCCAACGGTAATGTTTGGTATTAGTCAGTACTTTAAATAGACCAACAGTTTCTGCTAAAAAAACAGAACAAATATCAGCATACACGAATATCAGAAAATAAACAATAAAACAACTAAAAGTAGCGATGGTTCCGGGCATTATTGCACCATACCGCAGGTCGCTTATGATTCGGAATTTGGAATAGATTGGTCGTTTATGTTACAATGACTTTACTTCTGTATTGCTATATTTTCTAAAGTCCTATACAGTATATCCACGTAAATTTTATGATTTTATGTTTGTATTGCAGGTGCCGGTTGTCACGCTGTTTTCTCTAGAATTTTACGTGGACAACCAAATGTTCTACAGAAAAAAAGGCAGTCGTCAGATAAAAAAAAATCTAAATCTGGCGTACAAAACTTCGTTAGAAAATTCAAAAATGCAATGCGAAATATCAGAAAGGAAGTGGCAAATAAGGTTGAAATCAAAACTGTGCAAGTTCCTGTAAAGGAAGTCAAAAGTTCGTTCACTTCAGCTCCAACATTAGAGAAAACACAAATTGTGCATAGAGAAGAAAAATGTAGGCAAGATGAACCTGATGCCATACCAGATGTTTCAAAATTAGACCATTATACGGTTCGAGAAGATATTTTAGAAGAAGTAAGAAAAGGTCGATACATTATCGAAACTGCCCCGTCTGATCTAGTAGACTTTGGTGGACAGCGGTCATATGATATGACGCATCAATTATTCATTCAACACCGAGGTTCGTTCATCATTATGTTCAATGGAAGATATGAACTGAAAACACCTCTAACGGAATATCCCCAAGGTGATGTCACCTCGGAATGTAAGTACAGTCTAAGTAAAACGTAAAACAGTTATAATTGCAGAAAAAAGACAATTGCATATTCATATCCCTTACATGTGTGTTAACCGTAGGATATACATGGCTGCAAATGAACATAGCGGGTTTTTTAAAGCTAATTACATGGTATGTTTTTTTTCTAATTGTTGAAGGCCGTACGGTGTCCTCTGATTGTTTACATCTGTGTGATATGATCATTATGACAGTTGTCGCATTGTCAATCATCTTACATTTCCTTGTTAATATTTAAACCGAAATCGGTGAAATATGTATGAAATACCGTTTACTAAGTGTGGATAAGAAGTATATGTCATTACGTAAAAATATAGCTTGTCTTACATCTAATATGAGTAAAAATGTTAGCTATATCTTAATTATCTAAAACTATGCTATCGTCCATTGTGATTAATATGAGTAATGAAAGCGCTTCATTTCTTTTTCCTGTTAAAAACTGACAAAAATTTTATTTCTGTTCTAGAATTAGAACCAGATCTTAATGTGTATATGAATAAAACGCAGAATCTGCATATCCATGCAGTCGTAAGCTATATGTTTTCTAGTAGAAAATAATTGTTGGCAAATGTCTATTTCAGCATTAATCATGCATTGGATCAATTCAATTCTAACATACTGTCCAGAAGGGGATGATATAATGCCGATGGTTCTCTTTGCAGCAACACACAGTGATTGCTTCACTCCAGTATGTCGGTTTATTGTTTTGGTTTTGTTTTCTTTTATATATTGCCTATTTTCTTATTTATCTTTTTTTAGACTATGTATTATTTTAGAACGAAACAAAATAAATAGGCGATTGACAATTAATTTCCTAATATTATTAGCAGGTGAATGCAGATATATACTGCAATATATAGACCGGATACGTTTAAATCAACTGAAGATAATACAAAAACACTAAAGGACAAACTTTATTTGACACACTACTTGCAAAACATAGAACAATCACTATCTCTAAACTATCATTTTATTTAAAGTTATACATTATGCGAGTGGTGTAATTGGGAATTTAGCGGAGAGCTATTTGCAATATTTTCATGTTGAAATCCGAAAAGATTTTTTTTTTAAATGATACATTGTAAAATACCCGTTTTCCTTTTTTTCTAGAACAATTCCAGCAGTTTCTGCGTATTGCAAGTACATCTACAAGTTGATATAATATTCTAAAGATTACTTCCCTATTATGTTTTTCCTAATGACATTTGCTGTTGAACCAAGTGATAGTAATGGGACATTTAGATAAGTCTAATTGACATTTTTAAGGAATATCTCATGATTTACTTCGGGACATCTGTGTCAGAAATGATGACGTAAAGATACCACTAATTATGATATTGTTTGACAGTTACAAGTAGTGCAGTATCATCAGCCCAAACTCCAGTACTTACAAATTGGCATGAAATACGGATTTTGTGTTATTAAAATTTACTGTTACAAAATGTTGTAAATTATTTTAGATTAGGGAATATATCTCCCTCATCCAAAGCTCTAATTCTTTGCCCGATTTTGCTATACTTGTTTGTACTTTTTGGTTTATAAGCTCTTCATTTTGTTTCACAAGTTTTGGATTTTCAAACACCTTGGCCTCGAGTATCACTGAGGAGACTTTTATTTATTGTCGAAATGCGCGTCGGGTGCAGAAAAATTGGTACCTTCTATGTAATTACCTAACCAACGTTGAAATCACAAACTAAATTGGATTAGATATGTACAAAAAGTTTATATTCTATGATTTGATCGCCTCTTTCTTTGTAAAGATCTGTTAAAATGGACTTAAATAAACGATAGGTATTTTTTTTTTTTTCATTAATAAGGCTTATACAGTTGATCCTATCATATATTCTACTTTAGTATATTCGGTTGATATTTTTGTTCATGCTGAAAGTTTTTGTAAGCTTATGATTAATGTTATGCAATATCAGGAATGGGATGTTGATTATTAGTGACGTTTTTTTTTCTTTTCCTGTTTTTGAAGGAAGAAGCTCGAAACAGGAAAATGTATTTTACGAAAGAAATTACTGACCTGTTCTGAGAGCACGAACAAAGAAAACATATGTTCCTGGATACAGTATACTTCATCAATGGTACCGATGAGCATGACCCAGAGATCAAGGTTTTGACTCAGCAACTGGTCAGATTTGCAATGCAACAGTCGACATGGGGACAAAAAAGACCAATGGCATGGGTGCCATTAGAATTACAAATAGATAATATGAGATCCCAGAATATCAATATCATTACGAGAAATCAACTCGAGTACATTAATAGGCTAAATGAAGATCTGGCTCTAACAGAAGGGCAACTAGAAGATTTCCTCCGGAACCAACATGCAATTGGTAAAGCAATGTACTACAAACAACCTGGCCTAGAAGGGTTCGTCATCATACATACACCAGCACTGGTCAACATTATGAGGTCATTCATCACGGATGAGATGTTCTGGCCACACAATGCGGAGCTCAAAGAAATTCTCCAGAACCTAGTTCTTACCGGGAATATATTCAAGAGTGATCTATGGAAACTTTGGGGACAAGACAGCTTCCATCAATATTTGCCGACCGAAGAACTTAAAGCTTTTGTTGCAAAGCTACTTATACACCTAGATATCCTTATCCAGCCGAAACACAATACCTCGGCTTCTGGAGATGAGATATACCTCGTTCCATGCATGGTGAAAAAAAGTCCTCCACCTGGTTTCTTCTTACGTGGAACCAGCGATTCTAACACAATCGTATTAGCATACTCTCTAGCAATAACATCTATTCCATCTGCACTTGCATTTAAGATTATCGGTGCTGCATCAAATAATTTGCTTTTGAAAAAGGAAGATGGAAAGCAATGTCTTTTTTACAAAGCTGCGATTTTTATGGTGGATGACGACAATGAAATCAGAATGTGTCTAGAAGACAATCGCGTAATGGTAAACCTAGTTAACCGAACATCGTTACACTTCCTTTCACCTGACATAGCTGCAAGCGTACAAGAATGTCTAACTAAGACACTTGAGTCGTCTATAGCCTTCTACTATACAAGTAATGGAAAGCAGATTGATCCCAGTGAAGTTTTAAACAAGATCAAGATTGAAGTAGGAGTAGTATGCAACAACTCAGTATGTCTTCTAAACCTTAACGACTCTTCACACGGTATCGAATGGACATGCACAGCTGGCAATCGGAATCATAAGAAGAAATATCCAATGTACTGGTTCTTTGATCAGGTAAGTTATATACACAAATATATTCCATAGTCATCAGCTAAGAAGCAAGTACACTTGTCGGTCGAGTCGTTCACCATGCAAATGCAGAATATATTTAGATCCAATTCATGCTCAAGCTTCAACGCATCGGCATCCATGATAAATATAGCATCTGCGATGATCAGATGATGACGGAAATACGCCAACAGATTACATATGTGTCTTTTTGTTATAGCTCGTGATCCTGGCAAAACCTCCACTTCGTGTCAGTGAGTTTACTGCCAAGCAGTGAGCCAAGACAATAGGCTTCTATTGTAACATGTTGGTTGGTTTATAACATTTCGGGTGTTTTTGTTCTGATTTGAATATGTAAATAGGATAGTCTGCCTAATCAACACCACCTATCTAAAAGGTGGTCACAATTTATGTGTAAGTAACGTCTAGTGTGCACTCTACCGTTTGCCCTGAGTGCTGAAAATAGTCTTTCAAAGCGGCAATAAGCTGCATGTAAACAGATGCTATGAGAGATCTGCCGTTAGCGCTAGATGTTAAAAACTAAAACAAATGTTTGAAATAAGACAATATATAAAGAGATTTTTAACTTAAGGTTTTTGTTCTTAAATCTTAACCCATCCTGAAAATATTTACAACATACTTGTTTAAAAAATCTTTGATAAACTTTGAAATTATTGCGATGTTAAGGTTTCAAATCCCTCAAGTTAGAAAAACACTTTGAAACTTACATATTGGTATAAAAATTATTTTGTGCAATTCTGAATCCCTTTTTATTAAAAGAAAATCAGTTTGGGCTTATACTCGAGTTATTTGTCTGTTGACCGTTGAGATGTCTGTTATTTTACTATTATCTTATCATAAATATTAACCAACATGTATAGCCTTCCCTGGTCAAGTCATAATAGGGACAGCACAAAAGAAGAAGGTTATTCTGATTTTATGTAGTTAACATGTTTGTTGCAAAAGGGGGGGGGGGGAGGGGGGGAGGTTGTTGTCTCTTTGACATATTCACCATTTCCATTCTCAATTTTATTGTTCTGGGCTTTTGTTGTAAAGGATTGTATGTAAAGGTGTATGTAGTTAACATGTTTTTCGGGTGATTTTGTTGATTACGTTATTATGTTGAGGATTATGTTGTTAACATTTTTTTCGGGTGATTTTGTTGATTACGTTATTATGTTGAGGATTATGTTGTTAACATGTTTTTCGGGTGATTTTGTTGATTACGTTATTATGTTGAGGATGTTGTTGTAAACATGTTTTTCGGGTGATTTTGTTGATTACGTTATTATGTTGAGGATTATGTTGTTAACATGTTTCTCGGGTGATTTTGTTGATTACGTTATTATGTTGAGGATTATGTTGTTAACATGTTTGTCGGGTGATTTTGTTGATTACGTTATTATGTTGAGGATTATGTTGTTAACATGTTTGTCGGGTGATTTTGTTGATTACGTTATTATGTTGAGGATTATGTTGTTAACATGTTTTTCGGGTGATTTTGTGGATTACGTTATTATGTTGAGGATTATGTTGTTAACATGTTTTTCGGGTGATTTTGTGGATTACGTTATTATGTTGAGGATTATGTTGTTAACATGTTTTTCGGGTGATTTTGTTGATTACGTTATTATGTTGAGGATTATGTTGTTCACATGTTTTTCGGGTGATTTTGTTGATTACGTTATTATGTTGAGGATTATGTTGTTAACATGTTTGTCGGGTGATTTTGTTGATTACGTTATTATGTTGAGGATTATGTTGTTAACATGTTTTTCGGGTGATTTTGTGGATTACGTTATTATGTTGAGGATTATGTTGTTAACATGTTTTTCGGGTGATTTTGTGGATTACGTTATTATGTTGAGGATTATGTTGTTAACATGTTTTTCGGGTGATTTTGTTGATTACGTTATTATGTTGAGGATTATGTTGTTAACATGTTTCTCGGGTGATTTTGTTGATTACGTTATTATGTTGAGGATTATGTTGTTAACATGTTTTTCGGGTGATTTTGTTGATTACGTTATTATGTTGAGGATTATGTTGTTAACATGGTTTTCGGGTGATTTTGTTGATTACGTTATTATGTTGAGGATTATGTTGTTAACATGTTTTTCGGGTGATTTTGTTGATTACGTTATTATGTTGAGGATTATGTTGTTAACATGTTTTTCGGGTGATTTTGTGGATTACGTTATTATGTTAAGGATTATGTTGTTAACATGTTTGTTTGGAGCTTTTGTTGTGAACTTTATTCTGTTAAGGTAAGTGTCATGAACATGTTTGGTGGGGGCTTGTGTTGTGAACGTTATTTTATTAAAGTCTATGTAGTTAACATGCTTGTTGAGGGGGGGGGGGGCTTTTGTTTTGAACGTTATTATGCTATTCTGTTACGGTTTTTCAGTTATTCATATTGCTGGGTTGTGAACGTTATTCTGTTATTTTTTTATAAGGTTTATGTAGTTAACATTTTTTTTTTTTTTTTTTGTTGTGAACGTTATTCTGTTAGGGTTAACGTTGTTAACATGTTTAACGGTGTTTTTTTTTGTTTGTTTTGGTGTTGTGAATGTTAGTCTGTTTATGTTTACTTAGTTAACAAGTTTGTTTGGGGCTTTTGTTGTGAACCTTATTCAGTTAAGGTTTATGTAATTAAAATGTTCGTTGGAGGCTTTTGTAGTGAGACTACGTCGTTGTTTTTTGGTTAATTACGGGTGCATCGTCATGTGCATTCCTTGCTATTTCGGGGCCTTCAATAGCTGACGATACGGTATCGGTTTTTGTTATAGGTGAAAGCCGTTATGTGACCTATAGATGTTAATTTCTATTTCATTTGATCTCTGGTAAAGAATTGTCTCAATTATTCAACATCTTCTTATTCTTATATTCTGATTGCTGGTTTCTACCTTAGAATTATGTTTCGGTAATCCCATTGTGTTCTTTGACGTACGATTAAAATACATCAACATCATCAAGTAAGAAGATCTTATGATTGCCAATGAGACGACTATCTAGTCCAAATACTCGGGATGTAGTATATAACTACAAATAAGATCTGAATTTGTTGTCTGTAAAATTGTCCGAACATGAGTTTTCTACTTTACACCCGCTATCTAATTTCTGTACATGTGTCTTTTACAGAAACAAAAAGAATGTCATCAAAGATGTACAGGTGAGTAGCTGCATTTTTTTCTTTTTAATATATCGAATACAAATAGATTAGTTTTTTTTTCTCAATCTGTGTTCAATTGGTAGTTAATTTTGGGACAATATCAACGCCTGTTTTTAAAATATGTACAGTGTGTCAAAAACTACCTCATTTGTACTTTTGAACAGTTTATAACATAACATTTCAATGTTTATTTTAGGTCTTGATACAACAGAATTGAAAACAATTCCAAGCAACAAGCATCTTGTTAGATTAGCTTCCAAGTTTGGAATTACTTTATTTGGTGAATTCATCATTCACATGGGATTGGAAACACAGGAATATTGCAATATACAACACCAGTATGAAGCTAATGGAGTACATAGTGTTATGTTCATGGCATTGGTAAAATGTATGAAAGACATTGAAGCTAAACTGAAACGCCCATCGTTGAAACCCATTAGAGATGCTCTGATAGCAGTTAACTTGAACCATCATATCCTATGCCAGGTAATGTATTGTATAAAAAAATCAGCACCCCGCTGATTATATATTAGGTTTAATGTATCATGTATTCGTTGACATACAAAATATATATTTATCATGTGTAGTGACATTTTTGACAATACTAAAACAATTGAGCAAAAAACAACTTGTTTACGTCAACTTTATTCTATCACATATAAGCATGAGATCAATGGCCTTAGTGTCAATGAAACCTAACCGAATTCAACGATTTAATGAGCTAAATTAAAATATACATATTATGTGTTTCATACAGAGTTGAACATTCAAGGGCCTACATTCTGTCGATATCTCTTAGTTGGTATTGCGCAATATCATGGTTAATGTGAGTTTTAATGAAATTTAAACAAGAAATCCAATGGATGTTGGATGCGTTTTGATTTAAATTAAAGTCAAAGAAAAAGAATGTTGTATATGTTCTTGTTTACTTAGAACTAGCTGTTAGTAACTGAGAGTTCTCCTATGAATATGAAGTGTTTTAATACGTAATACATTTATATGTCATTTTTATAACTCAGCTGACATGTTTTATATGGTATCAACATTTGTTTGTAGATATTCAGGGAAGACACTAGCCTAAATGGTATGGTTTTTTTTTGTAGTAGGATATTTTTGTTTGATCAATATTTTAGATTGTACATGCCTGTTTCTAGAATAACCTTTATTTGAACGTGAATGTTATATTTTTAAAGTATCTGAATGCCCGTCAGGAAAAAAAATTTGTTCCAGTATGTGCACAGCACAATGTTCAAAAAAGTACTACTTAAAAGAGAGGCGAGAGATACCAAAGGGACATTCAATCTCATAAGTCGAAAATACACTGACAACGTCAAGGCTAAAAAATAAAAAGACCCACAGACATACAATAGTACAAAAAAACACAACATTCAAACTTTAAAGACTGGGCAACACGAACCCCACCAAAAACTGGTAATGATCTCTGATGCTCCATTAGGGTAAGCAGATCCTGCTCCCCACATGGTACCCGTCGTGTTGCTCATGTTAGTACAAACCCGGTAATAAGTCTAACTCGGTAGGTCATATTCGGGAAAAGGGGACGGGATTGAAGTTACGACATTAGGAACATATTCGCTATCATCTGTAAATTCCGTATAAAGGCAACAGTAGTATACCGCTTTTAAAAAGTCATAAATCGATTGAGAGAAAACAAATCCGCGTTACAAACTAGAACCGAAGGAAACACATCAACTATAAGGGGGAAACAACGAAACAACATAAACACCGAAGTGCAACAAAATACAAACGCCAACAAACATAGAAAAGGACTACTTGATAACAATTGCCATATTCCTGACTTGGTACAGGAAATTTTAAGAAAAATGGTGCGTTGAACCTGGTTTTGTGGCTAGCCATACATCCCGCTTATATGGCAATATTAAAAAAATCGCTAAAATGACAATGCTGCTAATTTTTACCAGTGAAAATCACTGATGCTCCAATAAAGACACTATTTCCAGATGAAAAGTCATTTCATTCGTGTTGCTCAAAACAATGTTTAGTTATTCAAATTCATGAGGAAAAACCATTAAGGAAATAGTTATTACGACTAATGTACAATGTAATGTTGATATCGGTGTGATCAACAAAATTATGACTGCATCTTTAGAACTTACAACAAGTTGACTTTGACCTTATCATACATACATTTACAAAACAAGCCTTTTATTCAGGTCTACTGAATTTAATTGTCAATTACCCACTTCACACTATGAATGAAGGATATTCAATGATGTAAATATTTAACTTGTTTGGTAAAGTTTTCATTATTTTTGGTTTAACTAAACGTGTTCGTAAGCTTAATAAGCTAAACATTTTCTTTTAGCGTTTTGTTTGATACGTTGATGTTTTTAAATATTCAGTAATAACAAGATATAGCTTTTTATCAGAAAGTGATTGTCTAAATTTGCAATAATGCGTTTACAGATCTCTGTTTGTATGTTAAAATTAATGAAAATCACAAAGAAAAACGAAGAATAACTTATCAAGGGAAAAGCATTGGTTTAATTATTACTTCAGATGTGTCTGAAGGCCGTCTGCAAAGCACTGTTGATGATGATGTTTTAACAGAGCTACCAAAGCATATTGGCAATTGTGTTATACACCTCGGAATAGAATTGGGACTTACTGTAGAAGATATAGAGGCAACCATGTACAATTACCCAAAAGATATGTACAGCCAAATTGCATCTGTATTATGCATATGGAAAAACTCAAGTCAAACTCCAACAGTTTTTGCTCTTATGAAGGCACTGCAGCATGTAAAATCTGGTGGACTGTCTTATCTATGTCAAAGGTACAACGTATATACTGAGGACTGAGTCATGTCCTGACTCACTGGAGTGACAAAGCACTATAGTCTGTATGTCATGTGTTTGTCATGTTTGTAATACTAATATGAAAAATAATACAAAATATATTCTTTTTTTTTATTTAATTAAGCTTATATTTTCATCATTAAACAATCTGCGCTTGTGATTTCCCTTTAGTTAGTTTTTGGCTATCTAGCTCCTGGAATGTTAAAGTATGTATGCATCAGTATCTTTTAAATGTTATGGGATATTGACTGTTCAGGATAGGAGTTAATAAAAAAAAAATTCGATCGCATCAAAATTTTTAAATATCATTTTAATTTTGTAGAATTTTTGCTAGACGCCTAACTTATATATTATTTATTATCTTTCATTGTACATGCTTTATATATAGTTGTTACCTTCTTTCAAAGATAAGAATCCTTTTCTGAATGATAACTCATATGCACCCACAACATGAACTATAAGTGATCAACACTGTGTCTACGAATGTTTCGTGAAGAAAAAAAGAACAAAAACAAATTTGATTGATATTTAAAAATAGTTCCTCTTGTTTACATTTGTACGGTTTGTCTATGAGCCTTTACACAATCTTGCCGTTCTTATACAACCGAAACGTATCGATGTACGTGTCGAAATATAAAATAAAGTTGTGTATTAATTTATTGTTATTGAACAAATGCAGACATGTACGAATAGATAATAATGATTGTTCTTGTTCAACTCTAATTTGTGTGGGTTTATTTGTATTTTTTGTTTTGCTTTCTGTGCCCATGAACTCAAAACATGTAATGTCATCCTCACTAAGATACGAAAATAACAAACAAAAACAAATAAAAACAAAATATAAGATTGAAAAAAAGAAACGAAGCTTAATTTGCTTTTTGAAATAAGCACAAATCAAACAATGAAGGAAGACAGAACAGTATCTTTTAAAAAATGTATATATTGGTCTTGTTATGTGGTTACCTATTGCTGTATACTGTAGATTGTCACCGAACAGCTATATACATATTTTTTCTCATTTGTTCGCACTGATATAAAAAAAGAATATGTGGTGTGATCGCCAATGAGACAACTCTATTGATATGCTTATTTCCTTATGTGTAAAACAAGTACTTTTCATTCATTGCATCACAATACGTTTGCTTATTTGGTTGCATTACTTATTTAATGCGATTTATTTCATTTATGTCCAGTGTTTTTTTTTTGTTTTTTTTTTTATAGAAGATTATACTTTGTTGTTTTATTAGTTTCATAATGTTTTGCTTTTGCTTAGGCTTAGTTATACTATTTCTTAAAATAAAAGATTGCATTCAATCATATGATGCTGTGTTTTATTAATTTTTGTTTAATGGGGCTATTTTACCAATCAGACAACCTCACGTATGGTTGATGTATGGATTTATCTGATGAAAGCTAGAGTTTCCAGCTTTTTTTTCAGCTAAAAATTATAACATGTAAAAAACTAAAATATTCGGAAACTCAGGAAAAAAGACGAAACAATATTTTATGAGATACATCTAACAAGAAAGATATTGAACAATTGATTCCAAATAGAACGGTTAAAATCATCCTTAACAATTTTACAAACACTACATTGATCTACTGTCTATAATTGAATATTTGTGTCACGGGTAATCGTGGATAGCTGGAATTGGCTCCTGTTTCCCCTTTCGAACCTATTACAACATTTGCCTTAGCATACGAATTTTACACGTGTGCGATGATACTCTTCCGAATCATCTGAGATCACTCCCCCTTTTTTTGTAATGGCCAAATCGTTGAATTTCTGTGCTGTTTTTAATTTTTATTTCTTTTTTGTTATTTTTTTTATTTCGATAAGACCATTGTACGTGCATTTCTATTTTAAAGAAAATTTTAATAACAAAAATACAAAAATCTAAGGAAAATTCATAACGGAAAGTTATCTTATCAAATGTCAACGTAAAAAGCTCAAACACATCAAACGATTGGAAAACTAAAATTATATTCCTGACTTGGTACACGCATTGCCTTATGTCGAAAATGGCGGATTAAACCTGGTTTTTTAGCTAGCCAACTTCTCATTTATATGCCATTCGCATAGACTTCCAATATATTGACAACAATGTGTGAAAAAAAAAGATAATCGATCGAAAGTAAACATGGTTAATTGATCATTAATAAAGACTACCTGAAATAATCATGCTAATAAATTCACAACAAATCGAACCAAACTGGACATTAAAGGCTTTTATTCGTCTCTCATATTCTAGTTGTTTATTCCCAATGTTCATATATGTCCAAATCTTAAGGACTGGTGAGCACCAGACTACTTTTTCATACAGTGCCATCTGTAAATAGAATACAAAGTTGATGAATTTGTTGCGTCTAGTACTTTTTTATGGATTGTTATTCGTCGTGAACACCTAAAAATTAACACAAAATTGAAAGCCAATGGTGTATAAATACTTGAATTCTTAAAGACATGTATGAGATAATGAGACCTACACTGAATCGACAAATCCATCTAAGATAAAAATAATATGTAACAGTAGTTTACCGATGTTTACATCTAATGCCTCTATACAGATCATTTAAGGATGTCTACATCTAATGCCTCTATACAGATCATTTAAGGATGAAACAAAACATGAAGGAATCGGACGGGTACGCATCTTCTGTCATGCTTGTATCCTCCACATTCCGTATACACACTCAGCTGAAGTGTAACAATCAGACAATTTACAGAACAGGCGACTATTATGGCATCTACAAACCGAGAACCAGAAAAAAAACATCTCACTAGTGAGTTGAGACACAGATACATAATAGCCATCAACTTATTCGTGAAAGATACCAAATTAAAATAATACTGTATCAAGGTATTGCCTCCGAATCGCTTTTCTGAATTATCTTTAACAGGAAAGATCAAACCAATACATTTGAA